AATCTACATCTACTACATCTAGGAGGCAAGCCACCGTCGGGCGGGCATTCCTGTAAAGATGAGTACACAAGGTGGACCGTGTCTATTTCCTGAAGCACAAATCAGACGCAGCTGAGGCATTCGAGAGGTACCTTGCAGAAAACCGGGCAGACGGTGCCCCGTCCGCTGTCATGGTCGTCAGATCCGACAATGGAGGATAGTTCTTTTAGGGAGAGTTCGGCAAGGTGTGCCGGAAGTACTGTATCNAGATACCTTGCCGAAAACCGGGCAAACGGTGCCCCGTCCGATGTCATGGTCGTGAGATCTGACAACGGAGGAGAGTTCTTTGAGGGAGAGTTCGGCAGGGTGTGCCGGAAGTACTGCATCAAACAGGAGTTCACCCCCGCGCACAGCCCAGAATACAACGGTGTAGCTGAGAGAGCACTGGGTCTGATCACGGATGCAGCACTAGCCGCCTGTATCCAAGCGCCAACTCTTTACTCCGGAGCACCGAACGACCCCTCCCTTTGGGCCGAGGCCATAGCTTGGGCATGCAACGCCCTGAACTGCACCTCCACCACATCCAACCCAGAGAAGAAATCGCCGCACGAGATGTGGCACGGGCACCCTCCCCCGCCAGGGGCGACGCACCCGTTCCTCAAACCTGCCGTATACAAGGTCAAGCGCACGCAGAAGTCCGAGCCGAAAGCCCAATAGTGTTTTTACCTCTGCCCGGGAATCAGCACCAACCGTGATTGCGTGCGCATCTTGAACGAAAAATGCCAAGCGATCACAACTCACTACTTCACCTGGAGATCNCATCCGCCCCCGCGGCCCCCGCCGCCCTGCCCCAGTCGCTGCCTCCCATCGCAGAGGAGGAAGAGGAATTCGCGACTGAGGAGGACGAGGTTGGGGAGGGCGCGTCGAACCAAGGTGGAGGGAGGGCGGAGAGAGAACCTGTGGATGGAGGACCAGGTTTCAACCTTGGCACGACGGCAGCCCCAGGGCCCGCGGGGCCGCCCGCGCGCGCAGCGCCGGCGGCACCGCCGGCCGCGCCCCAGGAGTCGGGCGCGGGCGACGCTGGCGATGGCGCCCCCTCGAGCAGGGAGGGCGCGAGCGTCGCCCCATCTACCACGTCGACCGGCACGGCCGATGTGGGCGGCGGCGAGGACGACCGCCGCAGCAGCAGCAGCCGCGGTAGCGGCGGCAGCGGCGGCAGCGGCGGCGACAGCAGTAGCCGCGGTAGCGGCGGCAGTGGCAGCGACAGCAGCAGCGGTGGCAGCAGCGTCGATGACGGCGGCAGCGACAGCAGCAGTGGCAGCGACAGCGAGACGGATCTCCCGGCGCTCCGTGGGCCAGAGGCCCGGCGGCTCGTCCGCTTCGACAAGCCGCCGGAACTCACCAGCCGCGGAAGGTGGCGAGCCTACCCATCAGCAGCACGGAGGAGTTCACCCACTGGATGCTCTCGGCGGTGCTTCACGTGGCAGAAGGGCTAGCGGCAAGAGCGGTGCGAGAGTTGCTGTTCGAGCGCGCGGAGGAGGCCCACGCTGCGCGCCAAGAGCCGGAGGACTTCCTGCTGGGTGCGGTTGTCCTCATGCTCAACTCGCCAGACGCCTTCGAGACGGCTCTGGCGTCCCACGAGCTAAGTGAATCCCCCATAGGCAAGCGTCCGAGTGATGTAGAAGCCCCACCCATGACTGTAGCCGGCGTTGCCAAGTCTGTTTACCGAGAGGGGTGGGAACAGGCCATGAGGGAAGAGTTTGAAGGGCACTTGGGCACGGGGACGTTTTCATTCGTAGACGGTGCGCCAGAGGGGCGCAGGCCTGTAAGCTCAAAGTGGTGTTTTAGTTGGAAGACCAACAAGGAAGGGAAGATAGACACGTTCAAAGCGCGTCTGGTTGCTAGGGGGTTTTCGCAAATCCCGAACGTCGATTATTTCCATTCGTCTTCCCCCTGCCCCTCATCCGCATCCATTAAGCTGATGCTTGCGGTAGCGAACGAGAAGGGCATGAACCTCAATCACTGGGATGTGAAGCAGGCGTATACACACGCTACGCTAGACGAGGAGGTTTTTCTGAAGCTCCCCGCTGGGTGCGGGGACAAGTCGCATGAGATTGCTAAGGCTGAGCGTGCGATTTATGGTCTGAAGCAGAGCGGTAGGCAGTGGGGGTACCACGCTGCTGATACGCTAGTCGAGAACGGGTTCGAGCAATGCAAGGCGGACCCGTGTGTTTTCCGCAAGATGGTAGACGAAGTCGTGGTGATGATTATCGTGATTTATGTGGATGACATTTTGGTGGCTGGGTCTGACGAGGATTGCGAGGAGTTGCTTGCTTCTCTCAGCAAGAAGTTTCCCACCAAAAATCTGGAAGAGTGTCAATGGTTTGACGGATGTGCCATCGAGAGAGATGTAGAGACTGGGACTCTTAGAATCTCGCAAACCGCGTACATCGACAGCATGGTGAAACGTTTTGATGTACAATCGACCTCCCGCATCCCTGCTTCCCCTGGTGTCGACCTAGGACCGAAGAGAGATGACGAGAAGGGAGGGGAGTGGCCGGTAAGGGAGGCCATCGGCAGCATCATGTGGGTGTCGACGTTCTCGCGTCCAGACGTCTCGTTCGCCGTACGTGCGGTAGCGCGCCACGCCCACGCCCCGGCGAAGCGGCACTGGGATGCCATACAGAAGATCCTCGGCTACCTGAAAGGGACGAGGGACCTCGGCATCACCTACCAACGGGGATCGGGGTTAGGGCTGGCCGTGTACGTAGACGCTAGCTACGCCGACACGGAGGATAGGCGTTCGGTGTCAGGGTTGGCGACGACGGTCGGAGGTACCGTAGTCAGCCATGGTAGCAAGACGCAGAGTATCGTGTCTTTGTCTTCAACGNTCGTGTCTTTGTCTTCGACGGAAGCCGAGTACTTTACTGCCGGGGAGTGCGTCAAGGAGGCGTTGTTTGTGCGTGCTGTGCTTTCGTTTGTTGCCCCAGAGACCAGTGGTAGCAGCATCCAGGTCCTTGACAACCAGGGGGCCATGGCGTTGGTGCAGAACCCCCTCAGCTCAGGTCGCACGAAACACATCGACGTGAGATTTCATTTCATCCGCGTATTGTTTAGGTCGGGAGATATTTCGGTCAAGTTCATTCCAACAACGGAGCAACACGCGGCCAGGGGAATGTAGTTCCTCACGTTCTTGTCTTCGCCTTGGCCTTCTAATAAGTGCGGTCGTTGTGATCCGCTGTGATAGCGACGGTTTTTGTGGTGGTAGGGTTTTGTTTTGTTTTTAGGGGTTTTGCCCGGACGCCGGGTTTCCCCTCCATATATTACCACTCGGTGGTCGGGTCCAACTTGATCTTCCTCGACCTTGAGTCGCTTACGCTGTTTGCCTCTCCCTCCCCTCCTGCCGTTGTTCCTCGCGACGAAGAAATTGCAGACGACCAGGAGATCTTTAGAGAGTTCTTTTTGTGACCCCTTAGTTTCTGATTTGTTGTGGACCACGATCTTCGTGCGATGGAGTTTGCAGAGAGACTCGACAGCGCCGATCTCTGTAGGAAACAACAACTTCCTCGACATTTTTAGAGTGGACGCGTTCCAGAAGGGCCTCAAAGTTTTTGCGATTGTAGTTGAGTCCCGACCCGATGTCTGAGAGTCGTGTGGTGCGGATAACGTTCTTGGAGGGATGCGACTTGTCGCTCGAGGTCTTCGGATTGTTTGGACGAGCTGACTCTTGCATAGATGATGAACTCCTTTTGGCTTTTCTCGTGACAGGCGTCGCATCCGAGTTGTGTCTCGACGTCGGCGACGTTGTAGATTCGCTTTCCATTGTTTCCGCCATCGCCGAGTCTTCGGATTCGGACTCTGCCAGAGTCTCCCAAAGACGCGATTGTTGATCGGGAGATAGATGTCATATCGTTCTCGGATCTTGAACGCTGACTGGAATATCCGTGAGATGTCGTGTTTTTCACGATGCCTGGTTCGTCGAAAATTCTCCACGTGCTCTTGTGATGTTTGCCAGTATCATAAATTGTGGCATCTGAACGCATTGTGAACCGATCATGTGATCTTTTGTCAGAAAGTCAACAATAAAAACATGTTTGACAGTTTCAGTCAAGCGGTAGGCGAGGGTGCCAGACTTCCGACACGTGTACGTATCCCTGACCCTCGGCGTGCGCATCCTTTATCGACAGAGGCTATCGCGGCGGCTTCTGCTCCAGTGGCTGCTGTTGATTCAGCCGCCGGCGACAGCAGGGGGGGTTGGCGTGGATGCCCTTCCGGTTGCTGCTGCCACAACCAAAGAAGCTCGGGGCCAACATTTTACCCCGTTTGCCGAACAAGCTCAGGACGTCGCCGCTCTGGAGGCCAAGTGAGCTCAGCGTGCTACTGCGGAGGCCGAGGATGTTTGCGGCCTACGCCACTTATTTATCGGGTGAGACTGTTTTGGTGATGTATTAACTTCACGAGAGGTCGACGACCGTCCTTCAAGAGGGAGTGCTCAAAGAGCGGCTCCCACAGCAAGGAGGGGCCCCGTGAATCATCGCGGTGCCCCCTATCAAACGGTTATCTTACCAGTCTGCGTGACACAAATCATCCAGCACATGTATCCAACAACAATGTTCGCAGACCCACGAACACCCTTCCTGGTTCTTCACGCAAGTGACTAACCATCAATGGGGCAAGAACGCCCCAGGATACATCAGAAAATACCAACATGGTGATACATGGAGGGGAAACCCGGCGTCCGGGCAAAACCCCTCAAGGAAAAACCCTACCACCACAAAAAAAACGTCGCTATCACAGCGGATCACAACGGCCGCACTTATTAGAAAGGCCAAGGCGAAGACAAGAACGCGTGGAACTACGTTCCCCCGGACGATGGTCTCCCAACCCCCCCTACTCCTGCCATTGGTACACAGACCGCAAGAGTCTTTCCCCGCATGGAAAACATGGCCTCTCCCAAGTGCTAGAAACGGGCTACAGCTACTCCGGCAAATTCATCAGCTTGCGCCGGTGATACTGCAGACTGGCCCTGCTAAGGGCCTTGGTGAGGAGGTCCGCGTGTTGCTCCGTTGTCGGGACAAACTTGACCGAAATTTCCCCCGACCTAAACAATCCGCGGATGAAATGAAACCGCACGTCGAT